CCTAAATTTAACATCAATTAATTATTTTAATACAATAGAGTCATTTCTGCACTTTTTTTGGGGGGAGGTCACCTCAGTGTCATTACTTAAAATCTAACTGCTCATTTTAAATCAATACTTTTAACTACAAGAAAAAGATATCGGAAACTTTAAGACTTTTACTCAAGTAATATTCCTAAAGGAGACTTTAAATTTAACCAAAGTAATTTTTTGGTAAGATACTTGTACTTTTACTCAAGTATCACTTTGTGGTACTTTATACAATGCTGCTCCTCAGCCCACAGTATCCTAAGTTGCACTGCGGGCCGACCAGGAGATACTTTTCTTTTTGCTTGTAATGACAGATGAAGTACAGTTTTACAGTAAAATTTACCAGCACAGATATTTAAAATTTAAAGCGGTTATGTCATTAGGCTTTTATTTGCATAGAAATGTAAATGTTTAATATGTTCTTGTCAGATGCGGCAAAACTAAAAACTATTTTGTTCTCTTTTCACTTTTCTCTGAATCTGTTTCACATCGTCATGGTTTCGGTGACAGGACAAACCATGGGTTGGGGGGGGAATGATGCAGTTGTACTCGGAGGTCCGAATTTCAGACTTCAAAATCAGAAATGAAAACTTRAACGGCCCCTAATGTTGTAATTTCGAGCAAGKATGAYGTCATCATTTCAACATGGCTGCTCCGCGCATCACAGAGTGAAACTCTTTACTTTTGTTTTTTAGCAGTTCTGTTTGTTTACATTAAATAGTACTTAAATAGACTTCAGAAGAGATCTAAACAGCTGGAGGTGTTTAAATGTAACTGTTGTCTCCTCAGCTCCACACAGCTTTTTWCTGACTTTAGCCTTTAACTCGTTCACAAGTCGATACTTCACATCTTTTAATCCGAGCCGTGTCTCGGTCCTCTGCTATCATCTCAGACACTCCTACAGTGAGCTGCAGTTGAAGAAGTTCTTCGCAGTGATTACAGGCACATCAGTGAAAACGTATAATCTCTCACTAAGTGCTGATTTTGTAACGATGAAGCAGCCAGAGACGCCTCGTGTGTAAGGAGGACCAGTTAAACCATCAGAATCACGCTTGTCTTTTTGTTTCAGCTCATATTGTTCTGCTATTACAATGTTGAAAAAAAATATWGTACGTATGCTKATGATACTGTTCTTTTTTTGTCTGATTTCAATATTGAATCTATTAATAGTCAGTTACAAGCAGATCTTCAGACATTTCATGGTTGGCTTCAAGATAATCTTTTGTCAATTAATGTTAAAAAACTGTGTGCATGTATTTTTCCTCACCCAGGAGACATTTCAATATAACAAATCAACTCACTTTTTTAAACAAACCCCTTGATATGTCACTGCCTACAAATATCTTGGAATTACTTTGGATTCTCATTTGACTTATCGTGATCATGTACAAGTCTTAACCACTAAGTTGAAACAGAAATTATACGTTTATTCAAAAATTAGATCCAATCTGACATCTTCTGTTTCAAATATCTATCTTCATGCCATTATACTCTTAACCATGTCGTACTGTTTGGTCTCTTACAAATGAAATCTTAGAACCCATAGTTAGGCTCTACAACAGGAC